AAGAAAGACAAACAAAAAAGGAAACAAGAAAAGAAAACAAGAAAAGAAACAAGAAAAGAAACAAAGAAAAGAAAACAAGAAAAAAACAAGAAAAAAAACAAGAAAAGAAACAAAACAAAAAAGAAACAAAATAAAAAAAGGAAATAAAAAAAAGGAACAAAAAAAAGAATAAACAAAAAAGGAAAAACAAAGGAAAAAACAAGGAAAAAACAAGGAAAAACAAGGAAAAACAAGGAAAAACAAGGAAAAACAAGGAAAAACAAGGAAAAAACAAGGAAAAACAAGGAAAAAACAAGGAAAAACAAGGAAAAAACAAGGAAAAAACAAGGAAAAAACAAGGAAAAAACAAGGAAAAAACAAGGAAAAAACAAGGAAAAAACAAGAAAGGAAACAAGAAAGGAAACAAGAAAGGAAACAAGAACTCAAGAAAGGCAATGAGGGCAAAAGTTAAAGCAACAGGAAAACGAAAAAAAAAGAAAACCGGGAAGAGGAGCGGAAAGTGGACGCACAAAGGTGATACAAAACAAAGTGTAAAAGGCAAAGCAAGGGGAAATTGAAAAAAGCAAAAAGGTAACGCAAAGAGGTGACGCGGAAAGAGGAGCGGAAAAGAAAATGCAAGAAAACGCAAAAGGAAAACGCGAAAAAGGGAAAAAGGAAAAGTGGTAAAAATGCAAAAAGAAACGTAGTGAGGAACGGAAACGCAAAAGGGGGACGCAAGGGGGACGCAAGGGGGACGCAAGGGGGACGCAAAGGGGGACGCAAGGGGGACGCAAGGGGGACGCAAGGGGGACGCTAAAAAAACAAGACAAAGAAAGAGCAAAAAGAAGATGAAAGAAGTGACAATGGTTGTTGTCCTGGGATCGAAAGCCACACGCCCCGCCGCAGTTGTCGGGGCCTTCGGCTGCACTCTGCCGACTTCTCCTCCCAGCTAAGTCATGGCTGAGGATTTATCTCTTGTGGCCCTGGGAGCCGCGATGGAGGCTTGTGGACGGGCGGGCCGAGTGACGACCCCTTTCGAGGAGGTAGGTAGACTGCGCCGGTTTTCGCCGCTTTGCTTAGCGTGCCCGTCCTTTCTTCCGATTTGGCCGTGGGTGGGTGACGCGCGGCGGTTCACGTGGTAGGGAGACCAAGAGTTGCTGTGTAGATGGTGTTCGCATGTGTCTTGGGACTTGAGTAGGCGTTGTAGTGAAGGCCGAAAGGGATGCGGGTGGTCGGCGGCTGTGGGCTCCGCAGGAGGGGGTGGATGGGCGTGGATGGGCCAGATGGTGACTTTGCGGATAAAAAGAAAAACGAGGCGAAAAAAAAGGAAGAGCAAAGCAAAACGAGAACAAGAAAAGCCGAAAGAAAACGCCGAACGAAAACCAGAGCAGAAATGAAGGTGCGCACACTCGCCAACGGTGGTGCCGGAGCTGAGGGTGAGGCCCAGAGGCCTCGGAGAGGATGAGGCCCAGAGGCCTCAGAGAGGATGAGGCTGAGGGTGACAAAACGAACTGCACATCGGTAATGGGCACCGGCCGCCTTTATATCGAGCGACTTCAGCGACATTGACCATCAACACATCAACACTTGTGTCTTTTTCACGGCGTTTCTATTCTCGACATCACCCCACGTGCGCCTATTCCCCAGATGCCTGCACGCTTGGCAACCCCCAGATGGAAGCCCACCGACCACGGTCTCGTCGCCATTTGCGGATGGTGTACGATGAGGCGCAGGCGACGATGTCCATCGGACGTCAAGCAGAAAGCTGGAAACCAAGCAGTTGACGTCATGGGGCTCGTTTTAGACATGTTTTCTTGTCCCCCATCGGGCTAGTCCAGGTTTTCGAGGACATAGAATCCATACAGGGCAGGAATGCCTTTCGAATGCCACCATGAAGGGACCCAAATCTGGCGCAAAATGGGCAAATTTAGAAGTCAATGTGGGTCCCTTGGCTATTTTGGGGGGTAGTTTTGTGGGGTTGTTTCGCGGAACGATCCGCTTGCTTGGCTCGGAAAGCGATCAGAGCAAACCTTGGGTGTTGTGCGCTTTGCCCCGGGTCCACACGGAAACCATGCTGTCTCTGTCTGCATCTGTGCATCTGATCGCTGTGTTACCAAGCAACGGAAAAGGAAAATTAGGAACCAAGTCAGCGAACCAGCCTTTGAAATGGCCCCCGTTGGCCTAGAGGGATGATGTCTTCAATCTCATGGTGTGCTAACACATACAGCAGAGACCTGATGCTTCCTTGAAGGGATTATGAAGAACGCGGAAGTGACCAGGGAGAGTAATCGAACGAGAGACATCTATAACTGTCATTTTAAAATCTACCGTACCATAATCGTAAAGAGACCGTAATGCTAAGTGCCATTCTACCCAGCGCAGGACATGTGTAGCGACCCAGCCGCCAATCGAACCAGTTCAAACGAGCGATATCGATAAAGCTTAGTTAGCAGACAGCATGCGTCTTCCCTGTCTTGCCCTGGATGGAGTGCTGCTCGTTCTATCGAGGATACAGAAAACGCGAGGTTAGCATCGGCAGAGAGATAATAGCGCAAGGATCTAGGCTTACCCTGTACTCAAGGGGATTGTGAGTGGCCTTGCCGCTGGCGGTGCCATGCTTGTTGATGAGGTCCTGGTGGCGCTCGACCTCCTTCCTGTTCATGGCCTCGAGCACTGATACGGACAGCTTGATGTCGCTGATAAGGGCGTCGCAGCGATTGCGTGAAAAGTCCTCACGTACCACGACGCGCAGCATCTTGAGGTTGTTCGTGTGCGGTGCCATGGTGTATGCTGGCACAACCCAGCCACGGACTCGGAGCTGGTGCGCCAGTGAGGACTCGTCGTAGTGACGCTGTGACATGCTCGACTCGATCGAGTCTTCGTCGCCGGCCTCGGCTTCCTCCACATCCGCAAGGCGGAAGGCCACGAGCGGCAGACCCTCGCCCGACTTTTTGGACATGATTACGAACCCCATTGCCTCGAGACTGTCGGACAAGTAGTCTGCCGTCCTCGTCAGGTTGGACATGATGGCCCGGTAGCCTTTCTTTCCCAGCCGGATCAGCTGGTAGTATTGTCCGATGACCTGAGACGCGCCCTTGCTGAAGTTGAGGGTGAAGGAAGCCTGATCTGCCCCGAGATAGTTGATGTTGAAGACGAGCTCCTTGGGGAGGAATTCAGCCGACCGCCAAATAACCCAGCCCACACCTGGGTAGACAAGTCCGTACTGTTCGGGGAGTTGTGAGTTTAGCAGATGACTTCGTACGGACACAAACTTTGCACAACATCAAATCAGTCAAAGGGCACGAACCTTGTGGCCAGAGACATTGATAGAAACGACCCTGTCGCAACGGAAGTCCCACTCGAGATCGGGCATGACAAACGGGGCAACGAAGCCTCCGCTGGCAGCGTCGACGTGAATTGGGGTGTCAAGCCCCCTCTCGTTCAAGAGATCGTTGACTGCCTTGACATCCTCGTACTCGCCGGTATATGTGGTACCAAGAATCACACAGATGCCTGTTTCCAACCGAAGCAAGCACAAGTAGCGGTGGACACGTCAACAAACACGGTCTCACCCCGGCTGTGCCGTGTCGTCAAACGGAAGGGGCCTCGGCAGAGAGGGAGCAACTGGACTAACCGATGGTGTTTTCGTCTACCAGATCGACCGTCTGCTTGGGGTCGATGACGAAGCGGTCCTGGGAGCAGTAGACGAGCTTTTCGTCAACCTCAAAGTAGCGCGCGGCCTTTTCCCAGCAGACCTGGACGGCCGAGGACATGATGATGTTGGGCTGGTCAACAGGCTTCCCCTCGGCCAGGCGCCGGTTCTTCCAGCGCCTCTTCATGGCCAGGACGGCGAGCATGATGGCCTCGGAGCTGCCGACGCAGCTCGTGCCCACGGCACCGACACCCTCGCCCGCGCCGATGGGGGCGTAGAAGAGACGGCCGATCATGGACACGCATCGATTCTGGATGTCTGCTGACTGAGGATACTCTTCGTAGTCGATGAAGTTTTTGGGGAACGATTCAGTCATGAGCTTTTCGGCCTCCTCTTCCTGTCAAGGGGGCAGCACGTGGGCGCTGCTGTTAGTGTTTGTCATTGGGGCTGGTATATGGGGTTGTGCATGTGGGGGCTAGAGCTCGCTACAGCTAGCTACAGCTCGCTCCGCAGAGAGGGGAGTAGCAAGGCTTCCGTGCAGCTAGTGCGGGGTTCATTCGTGTGGACGGGCACCTCTTTGGCTTACCATGTACGTAGTCACAAACGAAGCCAAGCTGGTAGCGAGACGCCAGTTTTGTTAGCAGACCCAGCATATGTCTGTGAGATGGTAGACAGGGGCAGGACTGACTTGAGCATCGGATTCCCATCCAGACTGAGGTCGTCCTTGATCATGCGGTAGGCTACTTCCTTGGGCATCTCGCGCTCGGGCATCTCATACTTGGGGAGGTCGTCGACGGCGAAGCGGGAGCCGTAAACAGATGTGGTGAAGCAGTCATCGTCGTTGGCAAGCTGCAGGTGGACCTTCTTGACAGCCTGGACGAGGTTTTCGTCCAGCTCGCTGGCGTCCGAAACCTTGGAGAGGTGTACCATTGCGATGACTGAGAGGGAAGACAGTAAATAGGGAGGTTTTGCGTGTTGAGGATCTAAGGAATGATGAGGGGCAAAGTTTGTAGGCAGGTCTGTTGTAGGAGGTGGAGTGTGAAGCTGGGGCAGCAGAAGAAATCGCAGACTCGACGACGGCGGGTCGGGCCTATATAGCTCAATCAAATAGCGGCGTAACTGCCAGGTAACTATAGGTAGGTCCTAGGAATATGGAGAGGTGATGGTAGGGGCCAGCAGATAGCAACCTAAGCTCTGTGCACGACAGACGCGTGGACGGGGGAGCGAGCAAAAAGGCAGACGGGCTGTTGACAGCTCACGACTGTGTTCCGGATCAGCGCCCGCTCCCACCATTGAGGCTTCCTCCAGAGGTTGCGCCCTCCAGACGGACCACTGAGGGCAGCTCCCGCCTCGGATCAAGGAGAATTCCAGCCCTGGAGGTGGGGTGACGCACCGCTACCGTAAGACGAAAAAGGGGTGCAACGTAAAATGAAACCCCGCCATTTAGGGCATTCGTGGCCTCCCAGCCGTCTCCTGTTTTGGGACGGGATTGGAGGGTTTCAATCTTACTCTCTCGTTTTCTGTTGCTTTCTTGTTCCGGCGTCAGGAGATTCCAAGAGGCGGTGCTCACCAGCCAAGGGGCACCCAAATTGGCCACAGCGAAAGAGGCAGCCCGCGCCAGCGCCTGACTCCTCTCGACACCTGCCCGACAAGGACGCGTCTTCCCTGTGCCCCCCATTTTGCACGCTTCCGGGGTTTTGACAGGTCTGGGCCAGAAAGCTTGGCCGCGGATCGCCCGGCATGGCGGGGCCGTCGCTGTGGAATCCCCCTGGACCTTCCATGGTTGGTGTCGCTCAACTCGGCAGCAGGAAAAAAAAAACACGAAGAGTAGCCTCAAACCGCTTGTGCAACCCACCAGCCCAAACTCCCTCCGGCTAGACGCCTTCTACAGCTGACGCAATCCTCCACAGTCGCCGACTGTACCCCGGCCTTGATGCATGTTGGGTCTCGACACGAAACCTTGGCGATCGATCAAATCAACCCGCGGCGCCAGCCACGATGGTGCCGACAGGCTAGCGAGGGCCGCGGGATGCTTTTGGGCAAACGACCAGGAATGGACACCACACGGTGGACACCCTCACACCAATGACATCATGCCCATTTCCCCCTGAGAAAACGGACGACGGTGGGGAGACGGTGGTCAGCCCAATCGGTCGACACGATGGCTTCGAATTTCCTCCCCAGCCCCGTTTCTATCCTTTCCATCCCGTTCCGTTCCCTGCCTCGTGTCGCTAAGCAGTTGCAGCTATTGTTGCTGACATTAGAAACATGCAACGTCGTTGCTGAAAAGCTCACACTTGCAACATCAACATGCTTTTCTGCTTGGCAAAACGATGCTTGATTGAACTGTCTCAAAATCCAAAATCCAAACGCCTTCCTGCAAATCCTAATCCCGCCCTTTGATGCCCTTCCCTATCCCAAACTCCTATCCTGTACCCACTGCTACCAAACGAAGCAGCTGCGTGACGCGAGAATGCAAGGTCTGACTTCGGACAGCATATCTAGTTCTTCTTGCCGCCACCAATCTTGAAATGGTCCTTGACCTTGTCCCACTTGCTCTTCCCGTCCTTGCCGGAGTCTGGGGACCAGCGGCTTTGCTGGTTGCCCGGGCTCACGTTTCCTGGGTTCGGGTTGTTCGAGGGCGGCGTCCCCGGCCTGGGCTGGTTGTCGTATTTGGGAGGCTGGTTGGCCGCGACCGGAGGAGCGCCGGGCGCAGGCGGCGCCGGCGGCTGGTTGGGCCCGCTGTTAGGCCCCGGCGCGGCGGGCCTCCCCGGAGGGGTAGGGGGGCGAAGGTTGTCCATCCCAGGCTTCTTCTTGAGGCCGCCGGCACGGGCGACGAGGACGTCCCGCCTGTGGAGCGCCTCGTTGACGAAGCCGACCACGTCGGACCGGGCGACGTCGCCCCTGGCGTGCAGGCCGGAAATGGCGTCTACAATCTGCTCGGCCATGGCGGCGTCGATCTCGGGGCCCTGGACATCCCGGGCGCCAAGGTTGCCGCTGGTGGGCGCGGCGAGGGCAAGGGCCACGAGGGGGAGGAGGAAGAGGGTGTTCTTGACGGAGAAGATCATGATGAAGGAAGATTTGGATGAGAGTGTGGGTTTCGTTGTGTCTGTGTTGTGAATGCTGTGAGTGTTGCTGCTGCTGTGGTTGTGAGTGATGCTGGATAAAACATTCCGACAACAAGATGTCCAACTTGCTCGACTTGTATACTCGTTTTCCATCTGGGACTTGGTCTAGGCACCAGCAGAAGCAAAGCAGAAGGAAAAACCCGAGTTCCTTCATCGGTTCCTTCCACTTCCCAGCACTATTCGCTTGATGCTATTTTCCGATCAGAATCTTACTGTGGTCCAAAGTCCGGGAGCATCCTCGGACATGTCAAAGAGCCTCCTCGGTCGTGGTAAACAAGGTTTCCGGGCCGTGTGGCTTGCAGGCAGCGAAAGCTGGGCATTGCAGGGGGCGGTGCATCCGCGGTTCTCGGATTCCAAACCCGAGGGGCTTGGCCCATCCGCCGCGGCCAGTCCCGCCCAAGCTGGCTTGCTTACGCGCCCGGCAGCGGATTGCGATCGACGCGGCGGTGCCAGAATAACCCAGGCTGCCGCTTGGAATGGCCTGGGAGCTGCCGCCTAGCTGACAGCACTTCAGATAGCCACCCACTTGCCTCCCTAGGCAGATAGATTAATGGATTGATACAGTGACTTTTGACAGTATCGGGTTGTGCTTCTATTTCCTCGTTTATTCTGTTCCTCTTTCTGTTCCTGTTGCCGTTTATGAAATGGGCTTTCCAATTGGGCCTTAATTTGCACGAGATTGGGAGGGCGCGTCCGTCCGTCCAGCGAAAGGCTAGCGACCCGATTGACTGGCTGAGATGGGCCCATTGCAGTCTCCCGTCCCCTCTGTCTCCCACGTCTGGAACATGACCAGGGCAGAGACGAACGAGATGCGGACCTACCCGCTCGACATGGCCGACCGGCTCCAGAGGCTGGCGCGCGACGGCATCGAGGGCCGGTACGCCGATCCATTCTTTGGCAACCCCTACAACGGTGGGCGCAAGATCAGGGCCCGGTGGTACAGCGCTTCAAAGAACAGGCCAAACCATGGCGTGACATTGCCGCCCTCCACCTGGAGCTTGTTTCCGTCTACGCCTGGCTCGATGAGCTGCTGAGGCCTTATACGACCGGATTCAGCATTCGACTTGAGCTCGAGTTTGTTGGGGCAGGCCGCTGACACCTGGGCCTTGCTCCCCGTGTGAGCTCCGGTCCTTGCGGCGCAGAGCAAGCCCACGACGTGCGGCAGTGAGCTGGTGTTGGTTCCGTCCACAATCGAACTGAAGGCGAATTTCAGCCGCCACACGGAAATGTCTGAGCGCGGCAGCTCTTGGGACAGCGTGTACCAGCACTTTTTATTCCTCCCTGAGTTATGGATATATCCCCCTTTTCGACCGAGGAGGTCAGGCTGAAGGATTACACGTCGGCGGGCGTACGCTAGCTTGCTGGTTTCCTGCATTTCCAGGCTGTGTCATTGGGAAACAGCAACGTCAAAGTGCTCGGTAGTGCGTTTGTAGTTTGTGATGAAGCGTCGATTTGTAAAGGAAAAGGCCGAACCGGAAAAAACATGAGAGAAATAACACACAAAAACTATATTGTACAAATAATCACCCATTCACGTCTTCCCCATCTTTAAAGACCTGCTTTGGCGAGGTGGTGGTCGCCACAGCAAATTAAACAGACATCCATTCCCCCCGTGCGCCGGACTGGTCACCACCCTATACAAGTAGCGTGCCGTCATAAAACGTGGGATCGTTTCCATCCCTAAGGCTTTTTTTTTTTGAGAATCTCCCGTCCTTTCTTGTTCTTTCCCCGTCTTCTCTCGCCATAGTGTCGAGAAGTCCGAGTAGAGTGTTCGAACCGACAGGGCCGTCCATCGGACGGATACATGCCCCAAGGCCCTGTCACCAAGTATAATATCGCATGGGCTAGAGGCCCATAAGGTTCCCGGATCGGATCGATGCCGAAGGGTTCCATATCGCTTTCGATCGGCCAAACCGCCATGCCGCAACCGTATCTTCGGTTGGCAGGCAGGGTGGGGAAGGTTGATAATGTCGTCCCCTCGTGTTATATAATATTCGCAATGCTTATGCGCTCCTGGCTCCTGCTCTTGCCCGCCGCGGCCGTCGGGCTCCCGGTCCCCTCCACCCTGCTCGCGCTTCCAGGTCCGGGACTGGGCCCGCTCGCCTGGGGGTACTGCGGGTGCTCGAGCTTGACGGGCGGCAACCTCTGCGACGCGCCACCGCCGCCGCCGCCGCCGCCGCCCGGGGGCTGCTGCGCTCCGGGCCACGACTGGAGGGGCGGCAGCCCGCCGGCGGCGGCGGCGGTGGGCGTCGACGCTGCCGTCTCCGAGGCCAGGCCCCTGATGGACCCCTCGACGCGGTCCCAGCCGCCCCAGTCCCTACCCTCATCCTCAGAGAGGCCGCTGCGGCACTCGGGGCTGAAGATGGCGCTCCTGGGTCCCCCCGGGCCGGCGCCCGGCCTCTTGCTGAAACTCGGGCTCGTCGCGAGTGGCGACGAGACCTGTTGGTCCCTCTTGCCACCGACCCAGATCCACGCCGCGTCGGCCTCGGCCTGGAGGTCGGCGCTCACGTACGCGATGAGCTCCTCGTCCCGCAGGAGGGCCTCCCGCAACGCCTCGAGGCCGCCGCCCGGGCGCGGGGGCTGGTGGCCGCCGTAGGGCGAGTGGTGGGGATGGGGGGTTGTGGTGGTGGTGGAGGCTGGGCGAGCCGCCCGTGCTCGCCGCCAGCAGGCCCGCGTACTCGGCGCGCTTGGACGAGAGGACCGAGATGAAGGAGGAGATGTACCGGCCGCAGGGGTTCGCGACGTCGCGGCGGGGCCCTATGGCCGCCAGGGCGCGCACGCACATGGAGGCCTGGTCGAGGTAGCCCGTCAGGAGGAGGAAGAGGGCGCAGCGGAAGATGTGGGTGGTTAGCAGGGACGTGGCGCTGTCGGGCAGCGAGGACGTCGTTCGCGTCAGGAGCTCCGCCGTGTCGACCGCCGTGTGCATACACTGTTCGAGCGCCGCCCGGCGCGTCTCGGGAGGACATGTCGGCGCGAGGTTGTGTCGGTGGAGGAGCAGGCGGGCGTGCAGGAGGTACGTTAGCGGGTTGAGCATGTGCGGCGAGAGCGGGGCGTGGCTCGACGTGTCGCAGGGGGCCGGGAACGTCCTCCAGCACGACGCAAAGTGCTGGTCGAACGTGGCGAGCTGCGTCGGCGCGATCGTCGGGCTCGCCAGGACTCGGTTGAGGGCTGCGTATGACCGCGCAACGTGTATCACAGGGAGCAGGCAGTGCGTGACAGGCTCCGACCCCGGCGGGACGCTCATGCCCCGGTCGTCGATGAAGTGGTCGTCCACTGCGGCGGGCAGGGAAACGTCGCAGTCGGCGTCGTCGATCATCGAAGGTTTCCCCAGCTCGAGTGATATGCTCTTGTCCAGGATGTAAACGGTCCACCATATCCTCCGCCGCATCTCGCCCTCGACTATCGCCCAGGAGCCCACCTCCGAATGCAACCCGAGATCCTGCGCAATCCTCACCGCCGTGCCAAGCCACGTCCACGCGGCCGACTTCATGTTTACCTCGTAGAGAAACAAGGTCATCAGCAGCTGCGCCCTCGCGTGGTCGAGGTTATAGTCGTTACTCCAGGCGTCGATCGCCCTGCTCGCCGCGTCCGCTAGCTCCGAGCCCAGGACTGAGCGGTGCACCGCCGCCTCGGGAGAGTAGAGGCTGCCGACAGCAAGAACGGCGAAGAAGCAGGTGACGAAGCTGGCAGGCGCGGCCTGGAGGCCCCCTGGCCTGTAGAGGCCGTCTATTCCCTGCTGGAAGGTGGTCCAATGCAGTATCGGGAACGTGGTGTGAACAGACGAGTAGTAGCTCTTCAGCAGTTGCTCTGTTGTGGCCCTGGTCGGCAGCTCGGGTCTCGGTGAATCGAAAGGCTGCGCGGCTGGCCGAGGGGCGCGGTAGGGCGCTGGGGGCTTCCACACGCCCTTGGAGGAGTTGCGCATGCTCGCCCTCACCCTCGAGAACTCGTGTGTTGGCTCGGGCCTCTTTTTACGCCGCGGCTGCGAGCCGATCTCGGGGAGCTGCGGCTGCAGCGCCAGCTGGTCCGGCCCGTCCACGTCAAGGTCCATGGAGCCGCCATCGCGGTCCTGCAGCATGCGGCGCAAGCTATTGTTCTCCTGGCGTATCTTGTCCAGCTGCCTCTCCAGGTCCTGGACCTGCTTGATGGACGACATGCGCCGGTTGGTCTCCTTTGTGAACTGGCACTTGACGTTGCGGCTCGAGCACTCGGAGCAGCTGGTGGTCTCGGTAGCATCACACTTGACCTTGCGCTCGCGGCAGGCGTCGCAGCTGGGGTCCTTTCGCCTCTGGCGGTAGGCTCGCTTCTGGGCCTGGGTGCCGGCGCCGAGTGGCATCTGCTCGTTGGGCGGGCCCGGGGTGCTCGACACCGAGGCGTTGGACGGCAGCGAATCCCGCCCCATCATGGACGAGGCCGTAACGGGCGTGTAGGGCTGGAACAACGTCTGCTGGAGTGGCGGCAGCGGCGGGATGCCTATGGGCTGTGGAGGGGCGGCCGCATTCGGCCTCGTACTTGTGTTCATTAAGGCTCCGGAGTAGTGGATTGGGGGCTTTGGGGAGGTTGCGGAGGAGACTGAGGATGAGTCGTATGACCTTGTGGAGGGGTTTGGAGATCGAGGGTATGGGTTGTGTGACGAGGCCGCCATGGTCGAGGTTTTAAACCACCAGAGCTCGGCTGCGTCTCTGGGGTTCGCCGCAGACTCCCCCGTAACTTGGATTGTAGGGAGGGGCTGCGAGCAGAGTACCATGCAGTCTTGTTCTTGCTGCTCGGTTTTTTTTTTTTTTTGTTGGATTCCGTTTTCCTAAGGAGACCGAGTAGGAAAGCCTCGAGTTTGCTGCCAAGAGGGTTCGGGCAAAAAAAAAAAAAAAAAAAAAAAGACGTTTAGAAACCAAACCTCTGCCCCCTTGTTTTCTCCCTGTTGCTATCACAAGAGACAGAGCCAAGCAAACAAGGAGCTTCAAAGGTACCGTAGATCGGATCGGATCGGATCGGTTGGAACCAAACCAGAAAAAAAAATCCACCAGCCCCCAACCGGAGGCTTCTTTCGGGCCTCACGAAACACACCAAACCTCAAGCCAGAGTGTGACTGACCAAACGCACGTCTTGGGGGGGTAAGAAAGGAGGGGTTTGTAGAAACGAGGCTGGTTGGGTATTATTGTGTTTCTCGTTTGCGCTGCGTCTGTTCGCGAGCCAGATAGATGCAGCTCCGTCGTTGCGCTTGCCAGTAGGTCAGGCAGAGGGCCGTGCGGTGACGGTGTCTCAAGAAGGCGACGTCCACAAGCTCGCCCGGACAAGAACCAATTCGATGTTTCCTCCCTGTAGATCGTCGGGGTCGGGTGCAGCGAGAGGGGGGCGTGTTTGCTTGGGTGCGCGCGTGTCTGGCAGCAAGCACTCTTCTGGCAGGCAATGCCCAATGGTTCGTGTACTAGCCGACCTGTTCCTGTGTTAGGCGATGGTGATATCCTGTGCGACCTCGGATGCTGGCTGGGGTGGCTGTTGCCTCTGCTGGCTAGGTGGCGGTTTGGTCGGCTCTTCTGCTAATCCGGTGCTGGGTTCTGGCCCTCTTCCGCCTGCGGTGCCGCTGACACACGACTCCTGGTTGGATCCGGTATGCGGCCGGTGGCTGGCTCCCCCGAGTACACGCAAGCTGTTGCCCCGCAGGTTGGATGCTCCCCCAAACCTCCTCAGATCCTTCTGCGGCGGCGCTGGAAACTTGGGTCGACGGGCGTCAGGAGGGTTGCGGGAGAGGTCAAGAACCATATGGACGGGTTAGAGGCTCTGCCATGCGCACGAAGCTGGTATTAGTGGGTGCTCGGCGCTTCTAAACATAGCCGAAGATCACGGTTGATCATGAGGTATCAGGAGGCTGCTGGGTGTGGCCCAACGCTATTGCTGTGGGAGGGGGTTCGTGGGTGGAAACTCGACTCGCGGGTTAGAGTGCGAGAAAAGGTGGCATCGCTCTAGGCCGCCAGACTCTGGGTCGGCCGTACATGGACACAGCAGAGGATCTGTAAGGCACATATGCAAGTGCGAGTGTGGAGACGAGGGTGTGGTGACAAGCAAAGCCCGGCTACGGTGCGAGATTGAACGAAACACTCGGGAGCAGCACGCACGGACAGGGAAGACGAGGACAATACCGAACCAGGAAGCCCTGGGTCGAGTGCGTTCGGGGCATCAGTGTTCGGAAGGGACGCTAGCGGAGTGCGGGCAGGTCTGGCTGCTGGACAGGGGCAGGTGTGCAAGTCGCAGCAAGTACGCCGATGTAGTCTGACCGACCGGGCCAGCAAGTGACAGGGGGGGTGTGCCGGGTGGGAGTGGTGGTGGGAGTGGAGGTTGAGGAGCAGATGTACCAGTGGGGTGGCTCGTGTCATCCAGAGTGCTACCGCGACCCCTTGGAGGTGCGGTATGCAATACGTACGCAGCAGCTTCAAGATTGCGGTATGGACGGTACCTGGTGCCCGGATGTGCCAGATTTACGACTGCCCTGCCTGCATCCGCACCCGTCCTCGACATGGACCGTCTATAGTGGCCGGCGAGTTCTGGAAGCGTGGGAGCGGCTACCTGCGTGCGTTGCAAATAGCACACATAGCACACGGCACGCAGTGCATAATAGCCACACCCCCGGCGGCGGCGGCGGCGCTGGCGGCGGTGGGCGTGGATGGATGGCGGCGCCGGCGGCGGGGCGTGTGGATATGGAAACAGAGCCAAGGCTTCTGGCAGGCAAAGGGCAGGGAAAGGGGCTGCTTGATCAAAGCCGAAAGGGAGGAGCAAAACAGGGCAGCCAGAAAACGGAGCCAAGGGGGTGGGTTCCAAGGAGGCTCAAAGATCTCTCTGATGGGGGAAGGAGGCCGAGATTTCTGCAGCAGCACCGAGAAGCCAAGGGTCCAGGGCAGGGCCATGTGGCAGGAACTGGAAACAGCGAAAGCATCAACAGCACCATCGGAACCTGAGCCGGAGCTCTCCGCAGGTTAAATAGGATGCTGAGTCGGGGGATTCGGGGGATTCGGGTGATATTGCAGGGGGAGAAAAATTAACAATAAACAAGGACGACGGAAAGGGGAGGCGTCCACTCGTGCAGAGCTCCGTCGCACAAACCCCAGGTCCCTCCCTATCTGGGAAGCAGAGTTGGCCCTCCTCGCACGTCGATGCGGACGGGCAAGCACGCAGGCAGGCGGACGGACAGACAGACAGACAGACAGACAGACAAGACAGGCATGGCATGGCAGCAGGGCGGGAACAATGTGGCAGTGGGCTGCCGGCGGGGCCAGAGGCGATGGCAGGGCACAGCGGAGAGAGGATGTGGTGGATGCGGAGGCCGGCCCTCAACACTCCCATCAGCAGCCACAAGCGTTTCAACCCAATGTGGTGAAGTGGGCGTCCCTTTGGTGCTCCTCGCCCAGACGCCAGTGGCCCGTGAGGAGAACACCCCGGACCCCTGCCCATAGGGCCGGGAGTAAGGGTGGTGGGTGGTGGCACTGGTGGGTGGCGGCCAGTGGCGGCAACCTGACCAGCAACTTGATCGATAGGTCCCTGTCGCCTCGTCGCGGGAGGGCAGACGGGATATGCTGTCACTCGGGACATCTGTCGCACAGGCGAAGCCACAGACACACACTCACTCACGCGCGCACACGCACAAACATACACACCACCACCTTGTCTGCCTCGAATGGCCTTGCCCCCTTGGCCCATGCCCGTGGCCGGGTCCCAGGCCAGGATAGACAAGATTGAGTCGCGATTTGCCTCGATGGATGCTAGCCCGGCAAGCCACCGCGGGGCGTGTCAAATTAGCAGAGGCGACAGGGCGCTCCAGAGGCGCAGAGGCGCAGAAGCGCCAGAGTTGACGATGTGGGTGTTTTACCCGCCCGAGCCTGGCGCCCGCCGGCGAGCCAACCAGTCCGTGCCATGTCCCAGCAGGGCGCGATGGTCATTTCCCCAATGCTCCCGTACCTAACCCTCCTCGAGCGCTCCTACGTCGGCGGGGAGGTCGAGGCGGCCCGTGGGTGGTCGGTCCAACCCATGGCGCAATGTGTCCGATCAGCAGCGACAGCGACAGCGACAGCGATAGCGATAGCCACACGCACCGTCGCTGAAGCTATTGGTAGACATCATCACACCGGTCGAGATTCGGGGTCTTGCAAAATGTGGATGTGGACTAGCAGTGGACCAACGGGCTGTGGGGGCCGTCGAGGCTGGCGCTGAGTTGCTGGTTGGCCGGGCCCAGCAAGGGGCAGCAGTGGAGCGGCGCGCCTCCTCCTGCCACGATGGATGCGTGTGGGGTTCGGGTGGGCAACGGCACCAAAGCGCGGGCAGAAAACAACCTGGAAAGGAGACGAGGCCAGGGGGGTCGCTGATGCGGAGACGAGCGGGAAGGTGAGCAAAAGGAGGGGGTGTGAGAGCCATGTCGAGGTTGGGAAGGGAAGGGGGTGCAGGCAGAGATTGGATCAGCTACACAGTAGCCGTTGGATTGTGGATTGTGGATGGTGGATGCACACATACGGAAGGGCCCCTTAGCTGAGCCTTCCTCCGGACCTTCCTCCGGCCTTCGAAGTTCGACTGTACCTTCCATCTTCCATCACTTGCCTCTACCAGACGCAGCAAACCGGTTTGCAGACGGCAGGCACGCATCGTAGAGCCCGCGGAGGCAAAGGGCGACCGACAAGGGCGACCGACATGCCTGGTTGGCGCAGGTGGCGCCTTCCATCCATGCTACCCATGCGGCAGGGAATCAAGGCCCGGCAATATACAGGGAAAGAACCCAGACGGGAACCACTCATATGATCTGCCGCGCCCAGACGCCTCCTTTTTCCTTCGTTCCTTTCCTCGTGTTATTATTCCTATTATTGCAGTGCACACTGTGATATTGTGCGCCGACTATCTCTCTAATCACTTCGTCATGGCAGGGCAAAGAGGCTGCGGGCTGTTGCGACCTGGAGGTTGAGCATTGTGTCGCAAAGGCCGGTACGGGATGGATACAAATCCCCACTCTGCGTTTGCCGAGGTCCCTAGAGGTACAATGTAGGTTGAGAGCCTAGCTCCCTGGCACCTGGGCAGGCTCCCATCCTAGTGCCTGCCACTGGGCCGGTGTGGGTGGTGCGTGGTGTTGCGCCGCGCGTGTGGGTGTCTTGCTCGCGCGTCTGTTGTGCCGATCTGGGAAAGCGTGTGGATGTGTCTGTTTGGATGGTGGCCACGACGTCGGGGCATTTTATTGCGTGGAGATCACGATCTCTTCAGGTCGCCACTTTGGGCTTCGCTCCGACCATGGGAGAGGCAACAACAGCAACGGCAGTTCAAAGCCGCTCCAAAGGGGATTTTAAAAATAAAATAAAAATAAAAATAAAAATAAAAATTGCGCGGGAGGGCTGCTGCAGGCCCACGAAGCCCATGACGCGCCCCGTCGCATTTCGCCAGCGACTCGAGTTTATTGCCCGGCTGAACGTTTTGCGCCTTGCTAATTTCTCGGGGCAGCTGGGTCGACAGCCCAGACACCCCGCACCCAGATGGACGCCATGGCAGGTTGCAAACAACAGACACAAGAAAAAAATTCCGACGGAAACGGAAAGCGTTTCCACGCCGATTAGGGCGCAGGCCATGGGCACTAAGGGACAACACGTAGGTGCACACAGTACCTACCAGGCATGTGGTAGGCAATGGTGGGCATGTAGGGTCGAGCGTTGGGCGTCTGATCCGAGTTGTTTTAAGTGCAGCATACGGAATCCGGATGTGATACGTGCCCGGAAGCAATTTGATGTCCGTCCGCCCGCTGCTCAGGCTGGTGTTTGAGATGATGGTGCGTGGGCTGGCGTGCACCATACCTCGATGTGCACATTTCAACAATTCCATAAACTAGTACACGACAGCAGCCTGCCCATCCATCCATCTCTCCCTGCGCCCCCGCACCGAACCGCCTGCACGCCCAGACAATTGCTATCGAGATGTCACTTCATTCATCCAAGTCGGGCCGCTATGCTGGGCAAACGGGGCCTCTGCAGATGTGTTGGCTGTAGGGTCTCGGCCTGGCTCCAGACTGATGCACCTCTTCGGCATTTGTTCGGCTTATTCCAGACTTTGGGTTGTTCCGGGGGGGGGCCTTAGGCGGGAGGCTCACTAAAGACGGCTGCATCACCGTGGTTGATGGTTGATGGTCGCAATCTTGCATCACTCAGGTCTGCTTTCCCTTTGTTGCTGTCAGCGGAGTTTGCCCTAACGGGCTCGACGGCCGTGCTTGTGCCAAACTGACGCGGCGGGGGTCCTGGTGGTTGCAATCCCCTGGCCCTACCCATCCCGGCAAGCCCGTTGGGGACGTTCTTGGCCAGCACGGGGCTACAAAGAGCTGAGACGCCAAATAGGAAGGGGATCCAGTGCCAAGAACAGAAACCCCTGCGAGATCGGAAATTTGACGGGTAGCAATCGTATCGGATCCTCAACCAAAGCCCAACATTGGCGGTCCCGGCAGGTTGTTCAACCTAGTCGCGATAGCGGCGCCTAGGCGATTCAAGACAGGTGATGCGATTGGTCGCATCGGCGTTGGAGATGATATGTTGGTCTCGTGCGGAAGGAGCGACGACAAATGCCGGCCTACCAAACATGGCAAGAGCACAGCGCGCCATATCCGGGCAGGCACCATATGCAGTCAAGCGATTCTGTTGTTTTGTGAGGCTGGGGTTGGGCGCGTGGTTTGAGCTGCTGGCTGCCTGGGGTCTACCCGGTGCTGGGGTGTTGGGTGCCAGTCCAAGGCGGAGAGACCCTCCTGTCTCCATGTTCCATATGGACCTTCTTCGATCGCTTTTTTAAGCTATATCAAACGCAAGATCTGCGACCCCTGGAGCCAAGGATACCCTCTCGGGACGGCTGGGGAACGATAGCGAGTTGAGTGTCATGCGCTTGTGCGGTTTGGCGCCCTCGCCGCTGTCTCACCGGCTATTTGCGGCGGCGCGCCTGCTGCGACGCGGTAGATCAGCAGGCTTGGAGTTGGCCTGGGCTCCTATTTCCCCTTTCGTCATCGTTCGGGCTCTCAGCAACAACCCTGCCACTCAGCTGCAGACGGAAAACTTGGACGGGAGTGTTCCTCGAGAAACAAGCACCGTGACAAGGCAACGTCCCAAGGGGCGGTGCATGCCGAAGGGGTCGAGATTGGACGATGCACCAAAGCCACCGACCCATGTTCGCCAAAGAGACACCTATCCGAAAGCAGTAATGATATGACGATGGCATTATCAGAGGGGCCGGCTGGTTAAAGTCGTGCAGTTCCCAGGCCTAGGAAACCAACCCACTCTCTTAGGAGGCTGGTGTTATTGTGGTGACATCCAGGGCTCCCACCCAAACAAGGGCATTAATCACCGGAACGGAAACCGATGGTAAATTGTAGCCAGAAGCCCGACCCTCGTGTCCAGGGGTGTCATGCGAGCACATCACGAAGCCTCGGTGGAGGACCACGTACGTCCGAAGGAGGAACTCGGTCCTATCCCCGCTGCTGATCGGAGAAGGGGACCGGGGAAATCTACCGGGGCGTGGTAGCAGTGAGGGCAGCCTGCAAGGTCCGGTCCGTCTTTTCACCCGCTCCAACAGCAGTTGCGTGTCTCGACAAAGCTCGCGGAGATATCCTGCCCACACGTACACAGTAGCGGCACGTATGCGCCGTCGGTCGTCGGTCGCAGCACAGGAGCAGGGGTTGGCGAACCACAGCACCGCACTCTGTGGGTCGGCCGAAATACCGGCAGCGGTGCGTGTCAGGGTCAAAGTTGGCATCTTCCGAGTAAGCCAGCGACGGAAACGGCAGAAAAGCATAAGGCCGCCAACGTATGTATGCATGCATGCATGCATGCACACTTGCGGGAGGCACGTACCACACTAGGTGCTACCCTCCCTTCCTCACCTGCTCAGTCTGGACTAGGTGTGCGATGCTGTCGCCACCAGAAATCACGCACCGAAAGAATCAGGGTAGGTGGAAGAGAAAAACGCACGAGCTTGGGACGAAGCCCAGTGGAATTAATGTCACCTGGCATCACCTGTACAGGCACCCGTCCAGGGCCCGGCAGCTGTACTCACTACCTACTGATGCAGGCTTCAGACCCGTTCTTGGCAGTGACAGTCAGGCCAGCCAGGCTTCCTCAACGAGCGGCTGTTGCGAGCGAGGCTGCACAAACACATGCCAACAGCCATGGCGATGGATTCAAACAATATAGGCGCACCTATCTCCCCGCTCTCGCAAAGGCCCGATTAGCCCCGGGCGGCCGAGGCACGAGAAAGGTCGGCACTTACGGCACTTGGCGGCAAGGTGACCATGCCTTCGTAATTGGAGCCATCGCATCGGGCTCCCAAGATTGCCTCACCGGGCGCCATCAGATGTGGGGTCCGGTGAACCACCAAGGACCAGGCAGATCCGGGCATACGAAGACGCTCCAGGGCATGGCAGGGCATGGCAGGGCATAGCGGGGCATGCGCGGCTGGCTGTGTGCACCAGGCGTGCCAGGTTAGGCTCGCCGGCCTCGATCCCCGTCCCCGACGCTACTCAGCACCCATGTAAGTGTGCGACGCTCGCCACCCCATCTCCGCTTGCGTGGCTCCGGTCCATCCTGCTGTAACCTCCGATGGCGTGGGCGGCCGAATTTTATTTACGGCTTTTGGATGCTTTTGTCGACGTCAGGTTGGCGCCAGGGCAGCAGGACAAGCTGGGGGGGCCATGGGTCGACGGCACACAAGGCGCAGGGTTCCCCCTCCCGCGGGTCGTGAGGAGAAGTCGGTCCGTCCTCATTGATGGCGGCGGGGCGTCACGAACGGCCACGCCCGCTGATCAGCACTTGCGGCTCTTTGCCTAGGCAATCTGACAGACGCGACACGAGTGCCGAGGCTTTTCTTTTCTCCCAATTTTCATATCGCAAATCCACCGCCGCTACGGGTCGCGGAATCTCCTGTCGCCTTTATCAATCTGGAACACGTCGGGACCGCCCCAGCCAGCAACCGCCAGCGCAGCTATGGCATCCATAGGTGGCCGACAGACGTAGTCCGTCCGCACGCTCAAGTGAGCTCGCCTCCTTTCCCTCCGTTTCACAGGCCTCTCTGCATTTACCTAGCGAGCGCATAGTTCCTCCAATCCGATGCTTGCTCGCGTCCGGAACCGATTGGCTGTCGCTGCGGGTGAGGAATTGCTCGCCGTTTCCATGTCGGGTTTGATTGTCCTCTGCGCCCACAATCCACTCGAGCCCTGGCTACATGGGCATGCAAAGGGCCGCGGACGGCGAGACCCTGTTCCTCCACCCACGTCACCTGCTCGGCCATTGATGCGAAGCGCCCCACCACGGTCAACGCGGCGCCGATTCGGCAGTGACAATTCTCTTCAGTCCCGGCCGCATCCCCCGACCTCGGTGCCGCCCGGGTAGGCACACAGTAGGGCGACTGGGGTGTGTTGGGAACAGGACCCCAGACCCCTTGGATGTGGACAGGGCGATCCGCCCGACGAAAGGACAGAACGGGTGGGCAAACAGCAGCTTGAGGGATGCACCCGGGAGTCGCGGCGCACCCGGGCGAGGCTGTGTAGTTCAGCATGTGGAGCGTCCGTCCTTTAGGCTCGATGGGATCGCCCTACACAATTTCCTGTTGCAAGGCGAGGTTGGACGCCCACGACGACGACGACGACGACGACGACGACGTATCTGCAGGGACAGGCATCATGACAGCCCGGCAAGGAGCTTCCATGGGTTTGTCTGCATTGCGAGCAAATTGCATGCGCCCCGCCCCTCGCAACACCCCTCATGCCCTCGCAGCGATTGCTCCGTGGGCTCACCGTTGTTTTGCGTGGCGGATAAGCGCGCTCCTAGTGCCGCGGCCGGCCTCGGCAGCTAGTAGCGGTCCAGGTCCAGACCTCTTGACCGCCTTCTTTCCAAGCACCGGCCGCTGCACTCTGCAGCGTGAATCCCACGCAACGCACAGCGACAAGGCACACGTGGCGTCAGTGTGAATGCCAGACTAACTGCCGGGATATCCGTTCCAGTGCACGGACGCAGCCTAGCAACCCACCAGCAATCAATTTTGCTTTTTGCACTGAACCCACCTGTCAGCCCAGCCCGCTTGCTTTCCTTTGCGCGCACGACGGTTTGACGAACCGGTCCAAGCACTGGGCTGGCTGGTGGCTGTTTGCTGCTGCTGCATCTGCTGCTCACTGATCCGCCGCAAACGACATCAAGCGCCGGACTACCGATGCCGAGGCGCGCCAAAATAGCGCCGGTCGCTTCCCCCACCCATGCCCTACACGGCATGGTCGCTGGCTAGAGCGGTACAGATATTCCCCGAGCCGGTTTGCCGGCGCATGGGATCTCCACCTTGATTGAAGGGAGAATTACGACCCATTAGGGAGCCCTTGGAAACTGTATCTCGAAGGAGGCTCTGCCGGTGCCAGGTTATCCAACCTGGTCGGGATCGGTTCTATAAACACACATGTGTTGTGATTTTTGTGCGACATGGTGCAAAAGGAACGCAATGGAGGAAAGGTGTGCAACGACGACACGGTGAAACGCCACGCAGTCTTCGGCCAGGGGGGAAACAAACCACCTGCTGAAAAGCAGTGCGCCGGTCTGGCCTTTGGGCCTCTGGCATTGACGACTTTGACGACACAAATGGCGAGAAGCAAACCGGCGGCTGTGGCTACTGGTAGGTTCCACAAGTTTAAGTCGACCCCCTGAGGCCATCTCCCGTTCTGCTGACTGGCAATATCACCAAGCGCCATTCGTCCTTTTCCGCCGTTTGCCTCGACCTGACTGAGACATGCATTGACAAAGGTCCGAGGTTACGCACAGATTGTCAGCCGCCGTATGCTCCGAGCCTCATAATACTAGACCTCTTCGTTATCCGAATACGCGATTGCAATATGAGGGCTAAAAGCCAACGATTTTCCCCAGCCAACGGCGGCACCAACTGGACGAAGGCGTTACACCTCTGTGAGCTAAGCGGCAAAAGGAAGCCACAGAAAAATTAAACACAGACATACGGGCCCGTCTAGTGCTTTGTTCGCCTCTAGTCCCTGCATTTGCGGCTGCCAACCTCGCATCATCCGTGCCTCTCAAAAGCACGTTTCCGAACGGGCCCGTTCGTGCGAGGCTGCCTTTTTCACTTGGGCTGTCGAGTAACAGGACACGCGTACACACAAACTCACACGTGGATGCGACAAAGCAAAACATGGACGCACCAAGCTCAAATGAAAGGATTAGGAAGTTGCCGGTCTCCGGACCGGGCGGCAGCCGTCACCCACGCGGATCAACCCCTCCTGACCTCGTGCGGCGCCGCTCTCCGCCTGTCTCCGTCATGGCGTGGGCGTGGCTTGCCGGGCGTGTGTATGTGTGTGTGGTGTTTGTGTTTGTGTGTCCGTGTGTGTGTGTGTGTGTGTGTGTGTGTGTGTATCTGCATGCATTAAACCCCCTAGTTCGTTGCGGTCTGCCCGCACAGCCTGGTTTCGGAACGAGGGAGAGACAAAAAAAAAAGGGGCTGGCCTTTTGGGAGAGAAACGAAACATTGACATTTTGCACCCCCCCCTCCCCCCCTTACACAGTAAACCAGACGATTCCGCGGTTGTTTTAGCGGCGGCGGGGCGGGCACATGGGTGCCGTGGCGAGCTGATCCGACGATGATGTGCGGCAAGCGCATCCGTGAAGGTCTCGATTCCATTTGAGCCCGTCATTTCTTTGGACGGAAGGGCCCAGAAGCATTGCATTTTTGGGCGAACAAGGCTGGTTCTTTTTATCCCCGGTTTCGTTGTGTCGGTTTGCCTCTTTCGCGCATCCATATTCGACATTTTATTTGCACTTGCAGATGGCGGACAGCTTATGCTTAGCTAGGTAGGTAGGTAGGTAGGTGGGTAGGTGGGTAGGTGGTATGTACCTAGGCACACCGGGTAACCGTGATATCAATGACAGTAAACCCGGTGGTTTGGGATGGCCGAGATAGGCAGGAGGGGTCGACAGGCGGGTCCGGCTGGCAAAATCATCAGGAGATGATGGCCTCTCCGTATTTTCTTTCGTGTAACACTGATGGAACTCTCGTGTTTTTTTTTTCTTTCTCCATCCTTGTGAATAAAATTGATGTACGGTCTTGACGAAACAGCTTCGGTGTGGGGAAGGACACACACTGGGAAGAAGAGAAGATAAAAGAAGAAGAAGAAGAAGAAGAAGAAGAAGAAGAAGAAGAAGAAGAAGAAGAAGAAGAAGGGGATCTCGGAGCAATCCACGGGCTCGCTGTCGTCAGAAGCGCTCGCGCATCAAACGGGTGGCGGGGGTTGTTGCCGAATCGGGCGCCATGCCGCTGTGTGGGCGGGCAGGGCGGGAGAGGGACGGAGTGACAAGGCAGGGGTGGCTTGGTAAAGGGCTGGGAGGGGCGGCGGACTGTTGATGCTGCCTGCCGTCGTTGTCGCTGGACTCTGCTGCACCAGTCGCGTCTCGATGTTGCCCTTGTTTGCGCCTCTTTTTTTTTTTCTCCCCTTGCTATTTTCTCCTGTCACTCGCCTCCTGAGCAGGTGGTTGTTTTAGGCATGTTTTTATGGTGGTAGCGACGGGTTTTGCTTGTTTCTTTTGCCTCCCCTCCATTGTTTTTCTATTTTTGGCCCTTCGTCCTCTGTAACGTTTGTTTAAGCTTCTCTCTTTGCCTAGGGCTCTGGGTTTCAAACAAAAGGGGTCATCTGTCTGTCGTTTTTTTTCTCTCTCCCTCTCTTTCAATTCTTTTCGCTTGTGCTGCCCATGTTGGGTTTTTTTTCTTCTTTTTTGTGACGACGCCTGTCACAGACTCCCGTGTCTCGGCCAAGCGAGAGCCCGCAAGCCAGCCCGCACGCCCACCCGCAATCGGGCGCCGTTTCGGTTTCGTCTATTTTTGTACAGTGTCGATCAGAAATTTCCTCGACATGCAGAAACGGTCAGCTCTGGTAGAGAAAAGATAGAGGAAAGACTAGCGCTGGTTGGGTCGATCAGTGAGTGGCGGCCAGGGGCCAGTTGCTGTTGCTACCTACTGCCGCTGCTGGATGGTGCATCGTCGACGGCCCTCTGACCGCCTCGCTGTGACGGCGGAGCCGCAACAATGGACGGCATGGAGAGTCAGCAGGGATGGTGGATGGGTGGGTGGCCCACCACTCACTCTGACGGAGAGATAAATCGATCAAATAATAGTAGTAATAAAATAAACCTATGAAATAACGACAACAACACATCGGGCACTGCAACCAACCCCAGACCGCAAGCTTTGGCCCGACCCGAAGAGGTGCCGACCAACTCCCCCGGACGAACACAATCAAGACTGGCATGACCGAACCTCGGCCTTTTACCCCCCCGCGCGAGGTACCTATATGCATCGTCATAATGGCTTGGGCCCCCCTGGGGCGAACGGTTTGACAGCAAGATCGTGAATCGAACCGGGCCCATGCCGCATCGACAAGCCGGGACCCGAAAGCGGACGTAATTCCCGGGCCCGGCTGATATAGTATCCACCAGAATATTGGACAAAGATACGCGGTGCCTATCTCGTCACTTGTGTGACTGCGTGCGTGTGTGCATGCGTATTGCCCATCTTGAAATTGGTTGATATTTATTCACATATTAGTAGGTCTAGTCTGGAGGAGATTTAACCGGGTCGGCCTCCTTTGCACTGCCACAGTACGTCACTTCTCTCATCTCACTCTGTTTCCCTCCCACGGGTGTTTGCACAGAGCCCGTTGGCTCGGACATAGCCGACAGACAGAACAGCCCGACACCTCCTAACCTGGGCATGTCGGCAACGACACAAGGCTGAAGGGGCCAAGGTAATAAAGAAACGATAATCATGTCAGCTGCACCTCCGGGTATTTCTTCCCCCATTGTCCTTTTGGCTTGTTTTTTTCTTCCCAACCTCCGCTGTGGGAGGCGGCCAAGTTGCTGCCATGCGGCGCTTGCATCACAGCAGCAGGACCCAGCCAGCGGCAGCAGGAGGGCCAGCCCAGGCCTGACGGCGAACAGGCAGCCCCGGGCGAGAAAAAAAAAAAAAGCTAAAGAATGGGGCGATTTGCAACCTGGGCTGTCCACATTGATACCTGCCCCTCAATCCTCCCCTCTGTCCCGGGGGCTAGGCCCTTTGGCTATCGTTCCTTCTGGCAGTTATCGGTTCCCACTGTGGGACTGGGCTGGCGGGCGGGCGGGCGGGCGGGGGGAGGGCGTCCTTGCACCAGTCGGGGAGGAAGAACAGGGGAGGTGTGTGCGCAGAGAAAGGCGGCAGGGGGACCAAGGCAAAAGAGTCACGAACAGTCGGGGACTTTGACAAACATGACTTGGAGGGCTGCGTGCTTCATCCTGGTAAGGTGACGACGGATTTGTGGAAAATGAGATCAACAGGAAAAGGGAAAAAGAAAGGCGATACAGGGTATCAAAAAGAAGCAGCAGCCGGGGGTCGTTGCGGTCTCCATCCACACACACTCACACCCTGCTCGACCCCTCGTCCAAAACCCCAGAACGACGTTGCCCGCATTCGGATACTTTCCACGAGGACCCGAGCGGACCGACGACAATGACATGGTCAGCTTGCCTGCTTACTGGGCAATGGTGGGCTTGTCGGGGGGAGGGTTTAGCGACTCCTGTTTTATTTTTTTTTGGTTGTTGTTTGTTGTTGTATTTGTCTCTTATCATTATCTTCATCAGCCCATGCCATCTCCTTTTTTTTTTTTTTTGCCTCCCTGCTTCAGGACACCCTGCCATTCTTCGGTTCCTCCTGTATCAGGTATAATGTTTGCATATTGATAAACCACACGTGCAAACAAGATATGGGAGCAGCCGTAGAGGGACGAGTGGGAGAAGGGCGGGTGAAATATGACGAGACGAATCAAGACACACACGCCCGTCTCCCTGGGGTTGTCTGATCTGGCTATGCGGCCGCTATTGCATCCCCACTAGAGGGCGGCTGGGTCGGGCGGGATGGTTAAGCCGAGACTGATCCGCCGACAGGCCATCCCGTCTGGTCTTTTTGCCCTATGTGTGGTTGTGTGTACATTTTTTTTATTTTATTTAATTATTTTTTTTGGGGGGCGTGGGCGGCTGTGTCTCCCCCTCGACCGCCTCATGCCCTGCCTGTTGATGATGTGTCCTACCCTGTCCTGAGCGTGCCCTTTGGGAATCATGTCACCAACGGCCCGCGGCTGGGCAGGCCGGGGTGTGGGCTGAGGGGGATTGGATTGGGCGGTGGTATATCTGAGTCAGGAAAGCAGGAGCCTGTGGTCGGTGCAAGGGGTCTCTAGGCAGGGGATGCATGCCGCGGAGGCCGTGCTGTTTTCGTTGGTGCTGTATCCTTTTTTTTCTTTCTTTTTTTTTTTTGCTGTTGATGAAAAGATCGAGAAACGTCCATGCACTCAAAGAGAGTTCAGTCAATACTGGCCGTTGATCATATTACCCGGCTCCTCATTTCCCCTTTCCCCGTTCCTCTTTGGCCTTCTGCCTGACGCAGCGGGACATGGGATCGCTTTCGTTGCGTCCCCGTCCCCGTCCCCCTTTCCAAAATCGTCATGACCAGGCCCGGGGGAGTTCCGGACGGTAGCCCACGGGTTTGTGCCTTTTTGTTATTTTTACTTTTTTTATTTGTTCCGAGGCACGCCGTCACAGCAGGAGAGGCAAGTGAAGAGAGAGCAAATGGCTGGCTAAAGCGAACGCTAGGGTAGGTAGACTGCAACATGGAGAACAAGGTGGTTGCAGGGCGGTGTGAGTCTGCCGCCCTGCTCGTGGAGCTAGGAGAATAAAATACTAAAAAATACCAAAAAAAGGCCGAGCAGGCTGGGATCCCAGTCGCGATGTGTCCATCCTCTCCATGCTTGTGCATGCCAACCCTCCATCGACGTGGAGGTTTATTTTCTTTTGCGCCCAAATACGAGGAGGAGAGCCTTCTTGGGGATTTCGGGTCAGTGCACACGAGTTCATGGCCGGCCATGTTCCTTGTTTCCTTTTCCTCTCTCTTTAGGCTGCAATGTTGTGAAAGACATGCGTAGGAAAGGAGAGGGAGAGAGAGAGGGAGAGAGAGAGGGAGAGAGAGAGAGGGAGAGAGAGAGAGGAGAGAGAGAGAGAGTA